ATCCTGTAGAATAGTTCCACATCTAATCTGTAATAACTCTCAATTCTTACGTTTATTTTTCCTACATCTGAACAGTTTAATTTTAAATGTTTTCATATAGATTATTAGGCTTTTGTTAACCAACTTTAAGATCTAGACTAGAAGGCAGCAGCTCAATAAAACAAGCCACGAGTGTTTGTTCTACTTAAAAATCTTACAAAGTCTTGTAACTTTTGTGTTGGGTCATTACCTGAATAAACAGCAATACAATCTGAACCTTAAGGCATTTCTGGAAAAAAAATTTTAACAAGGAAGCAAAACAAGCCCCAGAAGGAGCCAAACAGAGCCTCTAAAATGAAGCCATTGATCCAACACTCAGTAAGAGGACATTAAAGGGTGATGGCTCCTGCTGGCGGTGAAGGCTGCCATCATTGCTCCTCTCTGATGGCCGCAGCTGACAGTAGGATGGCAGTTAGAGGTCTGTGTTGGTAGTGATTACCTACAGGACGGTGGTCCAGCTTCATTGAGCTTGGTTGGGGCTTGCAGTAGAAGCGCCATCATCCCGCTCGTTGTGAGAAGTGTTTATTTTTAGCCTTCGGCGCTCCAGGATTTCTTCTCTGGTTCTTCTAATAGCCGTTGCGCTGTGATGCTTGTCACCAGGGTTCAGTTTAGTCAGTAACGTTTAAGTACTGCTCCTTTTTAGAACCAACTCACTGTTACAGTAAAGCAGAGCAGCTTAGAATCCATGGCCGCTGGACCCAGCAGCTCCCAGTCACATTTACACTTCAACTTAGAAAGCAGGAATCTAGGCTACTTTTACAAGTATTATTATTATTATTATTCAATTCAGTTCAGTTTATTTATATAGCAGCATTTCACAACACATCTTATCTCAAGGCACTTTACTGAGACAATTCAACCAGATCATACTGGTTTAAAGTTTTCTATCTTAGGAAAACCAGCTGATTGCATCAACTCATTGACTGGAATGCAATCCCTCACACTAAGCATGCTTGTAGCGACAGTGGAGAGGAAAACTCCCTTTTAACAGGAAGAAACCTCCAGCAGAACCAGGCTCAGTGTGAGCGGCCATCTGCTGAGGCCCACTGGGGTTCAAGGAGACAGAAGCAGAGATAGAAAAAGAAGCATAGATACAAAAGGCAACTGTCAACCAGCGCCACAGGCCAGGCACACGAGCTCTGAGTCAGCTCCCATGTCAGAAGATAAAGAGAGCACATCCAGTTAGTAACATTCAGAGAAACAGGACTACACTGAAAAATAGGCCGATCCTCAACATCTATAAACAAAGGTGTTGATGGCAGCAGCACAGCTGATATTTCTCTCCAGGATGGAGTCACAGCCAAACAGGAACAGACCAGATGAAGCTACTATGAGGAAAAGCAGAGAGAGCAGAACGTTAGAGATTGAACTAACAGATTCTGCAGAGTGGGAGAATAGAGATAGAATGAAGCAGAAATGAAGAAAAAGGGTCCCTATGTCCTCCAGTAGTCTAAGACTATAGCAGCAGATCTATAGAGATGGCTATCAAGTGTCTTATTTTGAAAAGACAGTTGATAGTGGAGCAATATGGAGTGAATTTGGTTACATTATTGTAGCAAGTAATAATCGGAAATGAAAAAACATATTTTACCAAAAAGGGTTTGAGAATAAATTTGATGTTTTTTTTCAGAATTCACAATTTCCATTTATTATCTACATTATTTTTTTAATTTGTCATTTTTTTTAATTGATTTTATATTTTCATGTTTTATTTTTTTCCAAGTTTATTACACATTTTATTTTCAAATTATTTCCATGTTTGTTTATGTAATCTTTTTCAAATTTCTATTTTTTTAAGTTTATTTTCAGCACAATGTTGTTGCAGATGTCCTTACAGAGAGATGTGAGCCTTTGCCCGCCACTAGAAGTGAATGGGATGTGGAAAACACAATTGGAAAGGAATGCAATGCAAAAAATCTGAAACAAGAAATGTCCGAAAAAGAAATTTAAAAATATAGAAACTGCACAAAGAGTAAATGATAAAATAAATAAATTAAAAAAATAAAACCTGCGAATAAATTAAAAACAGCAAATTTACTCTAAAAGCCTGTTTTTATTAATACATTGTTCAAAGCTTCTAGATTGTTTTTGTTTTTTTGTTTTTAAATTTCCAATTATAAAATGTGCTCTCTGGTTGCAAAAATAATGGAGCCAAATTGCCTCCATACGGTTTCCTTCAGTTGTCTGTCCTATTAGGTCAACCTTCATGGCCGATAGCAGATTTTTGCAACCTGTGGAATAGACACATGTTTTGATTTATAAAAAGATTGTTAAACTGATCTTCTGGCTTTTTTGAGTCGCAGCTGAAATGACATTGAAGTGTCAGGTTAACATTCCTCGCTGCTGCTCCTCGTCCACCTGGTGTTCAGTTAAGAAATGAGATCCAGTCTGACTCTGCAGGGGAACTGGATGCAAAGTTGCAGCTCAGTGAATGTCTGGGCTTCAGCTGCAGGGAGCGATGAGGGAGTAGATGATGATGATGACGAAGATGTCCGTGAGCATGCTGGGCATCCCTCTCTCTGCTCTGTCATGTTGGAGACGGCAGCGCGCTCTGATTGGCTGCCATGGGATTACTCCTGCTGACGACAAACCATTAAAATGAAAGAGGAGACGTTTCTCAGCGTCAGTCATTGAGTTTCTTTTCTGATTCTTTTATTTTCATCACAGACTCAAAAGAAATGCAGGAACTATAAAGCAACGGATTGCAATGCAAGAGTAAAGCTTCCTAAACAACCCTGCTGCCCATGATTCTTCTTCAAATAGATTTTTTCAGGGTAGAAGTACAGCAGTAGATCCTTCTAGGGGGCTTCCCCTCCAAAGATGATTGTTTTTCTCTAAAAATAAAACATGTTTAAACATTACTGTGAATGTAAACTGGGATTTCTATGATGTAATGCTGCTTATTTCAGAGGCGTTTCCTATAAATCAGAATTTATAGCGACTGCCTGATCACATGATGAGCTCTCAGCAGGAGATCCTCCACATGAGATGCATTATCAGGAATCAGTCACATGTTGGGACTGAAGTAGGCTGTGCCTCCTGTTGATTCTGCTCATGTCGCAGAGTTCAGCTCAGGAAACATTTATTCACATTCATGATTATCAGCCTGAAGTGGTCACTAAAGAATGTGTCGTTTATCAAGGATAGATGTTTTCAGGTTAATAGTTGTAAACTTATAACCTAAAAATGACTCTGTTTTGCTCCTGATTTATTGAATAAATAAATCTGAAAGAAACCGAAGTCAATAATGACATCACTGTCTAAATCTAGAGATTATTTTTTTTTATTATGAGGCGTTTACAGGTTATTTTGACATCAATCTGATCGATCCCTGATAAGAAAATGAGAGCAAATGTTACTCAAGTCTTAATTAAAAGCAAAAATCCAAACATTTAGCAACAAATCAAACTACACATCCACAACAGAGGGAGTGCAGGCGCTTCATGACGTCTCAAGGCATGGCTGCAGATGTTTCCCTTTTGCCAATGACAAAGTTTTCACTCCCCCTCAATCTCTAACCTCGCTGAAACATTTCACAGTCTAGCAACAAAAAGTGAAATATGTATTGATATAAAATAAACTACAATCTACTTTGATTGCTAAAATTACCTCATTTTTAAAGTGAAGTTATTTTAAGTTAAGCTTTATTTGGGATCCTGTGCTCCTCCAATATTCTGATATCAGCCAATTATGAGAAAGCAAATGGCTGTTAGTGTTCTGTTAGATGAGCATACCCAGTGTCAATTCTCATTTATCCCTTTAGTTTATCCCTTTAGTTATGTTTGAAAAATAAACTTTAAACTACCTCAATGGGCATGTATCCCTTTAGTCATGTACAACAAAAACAATTTAATTACTTTTCTGTGTTTTTTGATGCATATAGCGATCTGACTTTAAATTGTTTTTTTGTACATGACTAAAGGGAAACAATCCCGTTGAGAAACTTTAGTCTATTTTTCGTACAAAACTAAACGGATAAATGCAAATCTGACATTTTGCGTATTGACTGTAGGTATGCTGGTCTGACAGAATGATGGCATGTTCACCTCTAGCTCTTCTGCAGCCGCTACGTCACAATTACTCATTAATTTATTTGCAAATTGCAAAGGTGGCTTCCCCCGTGCAAAGACTTTAGAGAGGATAAGAATGCACTTTGACTCTTTATAAGAGTCATTATATAATGAATGAAGAAAGAACCTTTTATTTCTCTTATGTTGCCTTGTCCAGGAGCAAATCAGTGTTAGCTGAAATCAAACATACAACCTTCTTCTGATTTCAAAGTTTTCTTAACCCCCTGAGGCGCAGTGACCCCCAGTGTGCTGTTAGATATCCAACTATCACCAGAACGATGGCGAAACAAAAGCAGCATCACGTTAAAAACCCCACAGCTTCTATGGCTGAAGGTCACATGGAGCAGGAGGAAGTAGGCACCAAGCTCTCAGGAGCAAACACCCGTCTCTGCAAGGTCACACTGATAGGGAGTCTCTTGTTCCATCTGAAAGTCAGGGTGAATTGAAAAGAACAAAGAGCCCAATCATCATCCTGCTACTTCAGTCCAATTAAATGAAGTCTTCAGATAGAGATTGACGGCCTGTGGATGAGCCGTCAGGCCCTTTCTTTCTCCTGTTTCCCCTGTTATCTGCTTGGTCGTTTAGAGCAGCAGCTCCATGAAGGTTAAAGTCTGATTTTCATTGTTTTATCCTTCAGTTTAAGTTGCATCCAATTAGCTCTGCAGTAATATCTGTTTTCCACCCAGAGTCAGTTCATTCGTCAGCCTGTTAGCGCTATCTGTATGGAGCTATAAATACCCAAACCTACGTGATGCAACCACTGCAGCCACTGAGTGAATATGTTCAGAAATGAAAGGGGGATAAATGAAATGATAAATGTCTCTACATGAGGTGTTTCCTGTTGGTGGTGATGTGAAATTAACCTTCTGATTCTCCTCTTCTTGTGTGCAGGTTTTAGGGTTTGAGGTGGACTCCATCAACTCCGTGCAGTTCTCCAACCACACAGGTATGTGGAGCGTGTGGTATAGATGGATGGCGTGGGTGTGTATGAGTCAGTCAGAGCTGCTGGTGTCGTGATGAGGGGTTGGAGCATTAACAGCTGCTGAAGCAGAGGCCACCCTCAGACTGAGGAAGTGGAGAAAACACAGCTGCTTCTTTACTATGGAGTCAACTTTGATTCATGATTGTTGCAACCACAGAACGTGTTTTCTAAAATGGAAATGTGAAAGAAACACTCTTATGAAAATCCAACAGAGACTTTAAACATAAGTAACTTTGCTGATTACTTACATTTTAATATTCAAATAATTAAATTTTTATCCCAAAAAGTTCATATTAATTATTGTTTGCTTTTTTTAATTTATTTGATAAATCTCCTTTTTTCCCACAATTTATTTGAGATGTTATTTTTATTCAGTTTAATTTTTCAAATGTTATATTTTCAAATTTATTGTAATTTTTTTAATTTTATTTGATCAAATTTTATTATTTACATTTTTTTTAGCAAATCTCTTTTTGTTTTCTTATTTTTCCATCTTTTCTAACACTTAATCTGACATTTTCTTTAGAAAATATATTATCTGTAAAAAGAAAAAGAACAAATGAAACAGTATTAAAAAATGAAACATAAACTCTAAAGTATACTTTTTGAGAAAATAAAATCTGAGAAAATAAGTTTCTTTTAAAACGTTTTTGATTAGTTCGTTTAATTTCTTGATGAATTGTTTTTTTTTTTTCAAATTAACATTTACAAAAACTTATTCTTTTTTTGTCACAATAGTGGAGCAAAAGATATTCCATACTTCATGCAGATGAACATTGCCTTGTAGAAAATCCCTCCTTATGCTTTGCAAACAGAAACTTTAGAGTATTTTATTGGATGGAGCAGTAAGAAATAGAAAGATGCCACAGCAGCATCTATCATCACAACCTGAGATTCATATTACTTTACATAGAAACCTACTATAAGGAAAAACAGATCAGCTCATCGTTCAGGTACGTCTGTCAACCATGTTTGCACCATGATTTTTTCTTGCATCATGTTTATATTTGATCACTGCTGCACTTCAAGAGAGAGAAATGTCATGAGAACTACAAAATGAACTTTCACTTTGTATTCACTCTGTGTATAATAAGGACAATAAAGCTAGGAAATCAGAAAACACCTTAAGAAGTTGCAAAAGCATTTACTATTTGAGCTTACATGACACCAAAATGCTTTCAGATCAAATTTATAAGAAAGAAAAAAAATATTTTGGTGAAACAAATACCATTTATTTTTTCTGTACAATGTACCCTTATGGTGCTGGAGGGTTATTTGTTCCCTGCAGTGTCAATTTCACAGTTTCTGCTCACAGGAGTCATATCTGTTTGCATTTGTCGTCCAATATTTTAAATCTCATTCGTGTTTCTGGTCGTGACAATTTTCTGTGCTAGATTTTCAACAGCTTTGTTTAGATTTAAATACAATGTGTCCATTTTGCACCACAGAATGATTACTCTCTTTTTTTTCTCCTTTCTTTAGTCCTTTCCTGGGTAATCTGCTCTGTCTCTAATTGCTGGATCCAGCTAAATCTAAACTAAAGGAATGAATCAGCTGTAGGCTGAGAAAAAAAGGTTGTTTGTTCAGCTGTTTTCCCTCCATATTAAGGTTGGAGAGGTTTTACCCTTCCATATTGAAATACTCTTGTCCAGGATTTAAAAAAAAGTTTGCATGTACTGAATTGTTGCCATTTTATTGGCGTTGACATAGAAGACTAACAGGAAATATCATTATTGGAAGAAACAAATAAACACCAATATACAGCAAACATGAGCATCAAATTCATCTGAGGCACAAATCTCTCTGCTTATTGTCAGGTTGTTGCTTTAAATTCTGTTGTCATGAGGGAAGATGTGAGTGAGCTAACCTGTTTTTATGGTGCAGGCTGAACGCTAGCATAATTGTAGTTTTAGTGAAGGGTAAGTGCTGCTGTGTGGGTGAGGTCTGGGAATGAAGCGGCAACAGATGAAGAGATAAATGATGGAGTTTAAGGTTAACATTTTCAGTCGTCAGCTGTTTTCATTATTGTTTAAATAAATAAAAAAAAATCTATGCAATTTAAAGCACCCAGAACTAGTGTTGGATAATGGCCAACACTTACATCACTATATATTTCTTATTTCGGTCGATACGATATAATACATAATCGATATAAACTAGTGGGGAAAAAAATCCCACCATAGAATGCTGTACAATCTTCTGATTTTCAGGATTTTTATGCCAAGTCTATGTAACTCATAGAGTTTAACATTTAAAAAGTTATTGTTAAGTAACCCAAAACATTCATAGATACGCACACACATAAATATATATATGCATATTAGGGATGCACGATATAATCGGCCCCCTATCGGTATCGGCCTGTATCGGCCTTAAAACTGAATATCGGACATCGGCCACCCCACCGATATTTAACCCGATATTTGATCAGCTTCTGAGTTTCTAAAGTCTAAAAAATAAAAAAATAAAAAATACTACTACTTCTTCTTCCTCAAAAACTTCTTATCTACAGACTTAAAAACTTCAATATCTTCCTATGCTGATATATTGCCATTTAAAAACACCATATCAATCTCTTTTACTAATGAAATATTGCTATATGTCATCGTTATGCTACGAAATCCCCCGAAAATTCACGAAATTTTGCCATATTTTTATATGTTGATATATTGACGCGGTATCGATCTATTTTACTAACAAAATATCACAAGAATTTGCAAAATATCACGAGAGTTTGTAACAGAACGATGAAATTTCACGAGATTTTGAAAGTAAAATAGATCCATACCGCGTTTTTAAAAATCTATTTGATATCAGCATATGAAAATATGTTTGAGTATATTATTTTTCAAAGTGTCAGAAATGGATAACAAAACTGCTATTTTCAATGATTACTTATTTTTGTCCAGCTTTAACAGCGGTATCGATATCGGTTATCGGCTACATGAGTTTTAAAATATCTGCATATCGGATATCGGCCAAAATCCCAATATCGTGCATCCCTAATGCATATATACTATATATACATACAAATATAAATCTATACATATAATGTACACTCAAATAACATCATAGATTGAGACACGATGTCTTAGTTAAACTGGGAATCAGGTTTGGCGGGCCAGTCCATAGTTTTAACAGCTTCATGTTGCAGGAACTGCTGGCACCGCCATATGAAGTCTAGCGTTGTATATTTGGCCCTCATACCATCCTCATGGAGTCGGTTTCTAACTGATTGTGCAGACACATGTACATTTGTGGCATGTTGGCGTCATTTTACAGAGCTCTGGCAGTGCTTCTCCTGTTCTCCCTTGCACCGAGGTGGAGGTAGCTGTCCTGCTGCTGGGTTGCTGCCCTCCCTCCAGGGCTCCTGGTGTACTGGCCTGTCTCATGGTGGTGCCTCCAACAGCGCTTAAGTAATAAATTTCTCCCCATTGCTTCTGGAATTTTTAAAACTTTTTACTGATAATAGAGAAAGATCATTATTATATTGATTGGCTAAACATTTCAATATATCACCAAATAGATTTTTCCCATCCTCCTTTTTATGAGCCATTCATTAAATAACTGAACATTGTGGTGCAGCCACTGACTGCCTATAGAACATTTTACTCTCATTTGTAGTTGATCAGTGAAGACGACGATGATCTTTCTGTAAAAACCATATTTTCCCACTTTTCTCCAAACACATTTGTCCTACTTTATAAAGCGGTAGCACAGGGAAAATGCCACACATTCCTGCTTATAAATTCAAATAATATGTAAGAAAACCTCAGTATTAAATGTTTTTTTCGTTATTTCATAATCTAGTTAAAGAGCTCTTTAAGCTGTCACTATGGGGGAACGACCCCCTATTGATATGAATCGGCTCATTTTTCTGAAGTGTAAAAAAGGAGCAAAAGAGGCCAGTATATTGATGAGAATTTATTTGAGTAGCCTTAACATGCAAATGCCAGAGAAACAGCTCTTGTGCATTCAAAGCTACGGTTCTCTATTTTTTCAAGCAGATGGTAAATCTTAGGGACAGCTAGGATAAAATGTAAAAAAAAAAAAAACCTAGATGAAGATGATTAATGGGGCGACAATGAACTGGAGAAAGAGAAGGGATGACACCAGATGAGGACATAGGGAGTGACGCGGCGCAGCAGCAAAACAGCGGGCGCTGGGTTTGCCACAGCGGCATATGATGACGACAGAAGCAGCCCTTATCTGTTAGGCTTCCATCATTTTTCTACTCTCTCCCTCACTCACACGACTGCTCTGAATGCTCATCTCTCCTTTTTAGCCCCTTTGGCTTTCTCTTGGCCTGTTGCTTAGCAACCAGATTCTCCTACAGCATCATGTGACTTGACTGTGACTCACCTGGAGCTGCGACATCATCGTCGGCATGCAGCAACCATGTCCTGCACAGGCGTTAGTGTGTGGACCCCGGCCGCATAAATCCACTTCTTTATAATCTCATTACCTGGTGTTCAGCCAGAAGCTACACAGTGTTGGTGTCTGTGATGGTTGGAGAGTCAGTTGGTTGGTCGTCAATTCCTGCTCCATCATCCTCTGTGTCCAGACGTTGCCACATGCATCATGTTTTTTTTTTTGTTTGTTTGTTTGTTCAGACTTCTGCTCAGATCCAATCCAAAGTCACAAGATTTAAAATATATAAATAGCTGCAGAGATCTTGTTTAAAGATGTTACTGCTTTCATAATTATTCCTTTGCAAGATAATTAAGAAGCTTATTTAAAAGAATGTCTGTTAGATTCCAGTTTTTGTCATATTAGAGTTTAGAGTTCATGACCCAAACACGATCATTCTGGGATCACGCATCACATCACCTGGGCTCTGAGTTACTGTAGCACTCCAGGTTTTATTGCTGTATCTCTGGCCACTGCTCTGACTTCAACCAACAATAGATATTTATCTGTTTTATTCATTTTTTAAATCATAACCAACAGTGTAAAAAAAAATGTATTTTGGAAGATTTTTTAAAAGATATTTTAATGTGTTTTTTTTTGGCATGCATGGCTTCTTGGAAAGTTTCACAGAATAAGGAATGAAAATCATTGATTAATGAATTGATCCTAAGTTTATCTTATCAATAACTAACGATTAATTTATAACTATCGATTTTAAAAAAAATCCAAGTTTTCTCTTTTATCAAGAGGATGAAGGGATGTTTTTTGTACATTGTTATATTTTAACAGTTTATCATTGAATAAACAAAGCTTAAACTTTTTCCTTAAATATTATTAAACCAGAAATATTTAGGAGATAAAAGCTTTCCTCATATACTATATTTAATGATTACATGTCTTTTTCTATCATGTTACAACATTTTTCTTAATGCTTTTATTGCTTCCTCGCCTTCTGAGCACTGCAGAGATGTTGGTGCTGCTCCACCACGCAGCACAGCTAAATTAGCGCTATTCAGGGGACAACTTAAGGAGTGTATCAAGTGTTTAAAATTTCCATGCAATTTGTCTGTTTAAAGTTAATTCACAAGTTAATTATTAAAAGTTTTCAATATAATAAAGCCACTTAATTGCATCCACTCATTGACTTTTAAGGATTTGCTCCTTCTGGATGACCATGTGGTCACTGTAGATATTCACTTGCATTTTGTTGTTGACTGTATAGCACTCCCTCACACCGAACATGACTGCAGCGCCAGTGGAGAGGAAAAATGGCCTTTTAGCAGAAAAAACTTAGTGTGAGCAACCTTCTGAGGCTGACTGGGGTAGGAGAAAGAAGCAGGCATAGAAAAAGAACATAAGAGGCACTGATCCATAAATAATTTCTATGTTGGACAAAGTAATGGTAAACTAGCTCCATAACTCCAACAATTTAAGCAGAAACAGTGAAAGCTGAGCCCATATGAGAAAAACTATATAGAATAGAAACAGGACTAAGCAATGAAAAACAGGCTCAACTCTTTAATCTATAATCAATAGTATTGATGGCATTAGAAGACTGCTAATTCCCTAAAGGGTGGTGTCACAGCCAAACACCATTAGAAGGTGAAGCTACTATGACAAATATGAGGAAAAAGAGGTTAAATTAACTATTTTCCACAATTGACAAACCGAAATAAAATGAAACAGAATGATGGAAAGTGGTCCTTATGTCCTCCATCCACCTAAGCCTATAGCAGCATAACTAAAGAGTTTGCTCAAGATAACCTGAGCCACTCTCACTATAAGCTTTATCAAAAAGACATTTTTAAGGAACAATCAGGTCTCTGATATAAGATGGAACTTAGTTATTCAGGGCTTTATATGAGGAGGAGGATTTTAAATTATATTCTGGATTTAAGAGGAAGCCAATGATGGGAAGCTAAAGTATTTTCAAACAGAAGTGCATAAAGTTCATCCTGCATCCAACAGTATAAATTATCTGGACCAGACTTTGGGTGAATTCCTTTTTCAGCTCCAGCATGCCTTCACTCAGACATTAGCTCTCTTGCAAATACAAATGAGGCTCAGCTAAAGAATGAGAAGGATGACCCTGTAGTGTGTGGCTTTAACACTGCAACACTGGAACAAATTCCTTTTAAACAGATGTTATCAAATAATCTGATGGAATCTAGTAATCAATTATTTAACAATTCATCATAAGTCAGTAAGTTGTTTACATCCCTAAAAAGAAGGTTTATGGGAATGTTATTGAGAAAATTCTCTATGATGCTCCAGCGATGTAAAATGCACAGCATGGTTAAGTTAAATGCTTAAAAATAATAATGTGTTTACAGCAACAGAGACGGTAGATGGGAACAGAAAAACTCTGTCAATAAAAACACCCAAACGCTTCACTGTGACACTTTCATGTTAGTCCCAAAAAGTCCTACATTTTAAATACAAATAGATGGAGTGATGAGCACCATTGAGCTTTCCAGTCCTTTGTCCATAAAAGATTATTTTCCGCTGGGCTTCTCGTAAAAAATTCTTATTTTTTTCCAAGAAGTATCACTCACAATCTGGTTATGCTGGTTGCTGGGAGACTAGGGTAGTTTTTTAGTATGTGTTTCATGTTCCTCTCATGCTGCTGATTAAGGAAGTCTTAACAAGATAATTTACCCCCCCCCCCCCCCCTTTCTGTTTTTTTCTCCAGGTTATTCTCACTGGAAAGGCCAGGTGTTGACAGCAGATGAGCTTCATGTTCTATATGAGGGAATCAAACTGAACAACGTTCACCAGTATGACTATGTTTTAACAGGTGGGTGTTTTTATTTTCTCTTGGCTTCATTATAGGCAGGGACTAAGAAGATTTTTTTATTTACTTAAAATGCAAAGATATTGCAAAAATAAATCTATATTTTGAGTAAACACTGCCATTGGATTTCCGTTGAGTGTATGTAATGTTAACTTCTCATTTTGACTGGACTGGAACCTACAGAGTAAACACAGGAAGGCTAATATTACCTCAGATGATTCTTTTTTGTTTTGATTGGTGTAAAGCTAGACAAAGCATACTGTGTCTCTGCCTCAAAGTTTTAATGAGCCGTTATGCATGAAATATTTTTTATACATTTTCCTTGATTTTAACTCGCTGCAGTTCAAACTGAAAAGGTTTCATTTTAGTAACTGCTGTGTAACCTGAAGGGAACTAGCACTACACAACCTCGCACACCTTACAGTCAGTGGGTGAGAGGCGGGGTCTACACTGGACAGGTCGCCAGTCCATCGCAGGGCAACACAGATACCCCATTTACACTACCCTTCAAAAACCGATCCATGCCGAGACCGGTCCGAGCTCGGATCAGTTAACCAGGCCGAGCTCGGTTCTGATGACCGTTTACACATCACGCTATCTCGGTTCTTCGCTTCCTAGTGACGATCTGCGGTATTGCTGCCAGTATTGAAGGAGGAAATCAAGCAGTTGGTGGCGGTAATCCACCAAAAGTTGTTTGCCAACCGCCATAAAACACAAGAAGAAGAAGACGAAGAAGGAGGGAATCAAGCAAATCAAAATGGCGGCGCCGGTCACATTCAGAAAGTTATGCTTGATTATTATTGCTGTATTTCGGTGTTATTGTTTAAAAAGCCATTATTTAAAATGTTGCGTGGAGAAGATTTCGATCATTGTTTATAGTTGAAGAAGAAGTTGTTGTTCTTCTTCTGTTTCTGGAGGGGCATTACCGCCAACTACTGGAATGGAGTGTGAATCGCGATGTGCAGCTAGACGGAGATGACGCGTTCTGCTCATGCGCTCTTGTTATCAGAGAACCGAGCCGAGCCCACCTCTGGAACTGGTCTGCAGTTATCTCGGTTCGGTTGTGTCTCGCTCGGTTCAGTTCAGTTTGCTTTCCATTTACACACGATAAGTTATCTCAGTTACTGAGCTCGGACCGGTCTCGGCACGGTTTTTCAAGGGTAGTGGAAATGGGGTAAGAGACAGACAGGACAAACAACCATTCATTCACACACTCACACCTAGGGAGGATTTAGAGAAGCCAGTTAACCTAACAGACTTGTTTTTGGACTGTGGGAGGAAGCTGGAGTACCAGGAGAGAACCCAAACATGCTCAGGGACAACATGCTAACTCCATGCAGACAGACCCCGGGCCGGGAATCGAACCGTGAACCTTCTTGCTGTATCTGATGTATCCCATAAAGTATATTAATCACTATTCCTGGATCCATTTAGTGGTTTTCTCTAACACTGTTTGTTTCTAACACACTTTGAACAGCCTTTCCTAATAACACTGACCTTGCTGTTGTGGTGATGTGTTCAGGGTACACCAGAGACACATCCTTCTTAGAGATGGTGGTGGACATAATTCAGGAGCTGAAGAGAGCCAATCCTAACCTGGTTTATGGTGAGGAACATTTTTATTCATGTTAGAAGCAGATTTTTCTATCTTAACAACACGTTCTCACTTTGTGTATAAAGCAAGTTAATGTGCTGCCTGAGCGGTGATTAACCAGTAGATTTAATGTGTTATTCACTATGATTATGAGTTTGGTCCATTAGAGCTCCACATTACAGCCCATTAATGCTCTCACAGAACATTGACCTCTCAGTTCTACCCTCCTCTCAGCATAAATCACAGCCTCCTTTAAAGTTACTTTTTATATCTTATGTTAGTTGGTCCTGAATCCAACTCTAACCAACAGCAGATGTTTAAAGGAAAACGAAATTCTAATGAACCTTTATCCTCCTCACTCATGAAGCCTTTCATCAACCCAAATAGTTTCCAGCAAATGTTGTTCCTCCTTTTTCTGTAAAGGTTATTGATCAGATGGAGGCAAAGCCAAGCCTTAAGCGCCCCCCCTTGTTGGTCTCCATATTTCTGGATGAGTTCAGACCTCCAGATCCTGCACCTTTGTTGCTGTCATCACTGCAGGGTTTGCTGTAATCTAAGTTTGTCTTTTCAGTGTGTGACCCAGTCCTTGGTGACCATGGATCAATGGTGAGATTATAAACGGCTCTTTTCATTTTTGAATGCAGTGACTGCTGATTTTTTTTATTTTTATCATCTTTTATGATGTATGCTAACTGCAGTGGTAGGTAGTATTTACTATTCGGATAGCCTTAGCACGGCAAACACTAATGCACTTCTGTTGTAGCTTAAGTGTTCTTACCGATTTCAGGTATTCAAAGCAAGTCATCTGTTACCATATAGTTGATGATCATCTCCCCCTAGTGGTCTGGAGCATTTATATTACATAGAGCTTTTTTTTTTTAACTTGCAGGTGTTCTTGCTAATAGATTGCATCTGTTTCATGTGTTTGCAGCACATTCACATCTTTCTACTCTCACATTTTTTTTGTGATTGAAACATTTGTCTTTGGAGTATTTTTTGTCCTTTGCATCCGTTTGTTTGCTAGACTAATTTTATGTTTGCAGCCTTTTTTGTAAATACGTCAAGTTGCTCCCTTCAGTCGCTCCAATGTGTGATGTTTATATAGAGTACTTTAATGCTACGTTCAGACCTCACATAGCAGAAGCAGCAAAAACGCGCATTTTTGATGCCTGTACAAGTTTAGTTCTGATGTGCGGCTGAGGCATCTTTAGTGCTCTAGCTGCAGGGTTAAAAAGTGGGTCTGATGCGCGTTGGGCGGAGCTACCCTATCCTTTCTGTGCCTGTAACAATGGCGGATGTAATCGAGAGAGTCGCTCGGCTTATTTTAATGAATAATGCTACGTTCAGACCACAAGAACTGGATGCAGCAAAGAAGCTTCTGCTGCCTCATTTCTGATGCTTGTCCAGACTAAGGTCCAGTGAAGTGTATCCAGATGCGTCTGTTGCTTCTGCTGCTCCTGTGTTCAGTGGCAGAGAGTGGATTTGCTATATTTGTGGTTATAAGTGGGTAAAACATAGTTTTAATATGTTTTTAAGTGAGAAAGTCCACCTGAAAACTTCATATGTGCAGTCAGTTCATCCAGATTATCATCCTGCCTTCAGACATTATTTCTCTGTGGGAGCTGCTCAGACCCCTGTACAGCGGCAGTGCACTGTCACTGGGAATCCCGTTCAACGGCAGCTTCAAGCACGGTCGCCTCTTTTGGGTTTTCCGCTACTGCTGGCGGCGGCTAGCGTTTGTCTCATCCATAATCCAAACTGCAGGCACTAGAATAATAAAAGCAAGCATATTTTTCCAGCAGGTTTCTACAATTTCAGTTAATTTAGATGTTAATAAATTGTTTGAGAGGAGTGATCATAGCGCTCTGCATCAGCAGTGCTGTGTCTGTTTCCCTGCCAGCTCCCAGATCAGATTCTCTGATTGGTTGATGTGACGAGTCCAGCAGCAAAAGTTAAATTTTTCCATCTCCAGCAGCTGCTGCTTCTGAAGCTCTTCATGCGCCTTAGATGCTCAGAAGCTCGCTAAGCGCTGCTCTAGATGCACTGCAGGACCTTTTACTGCATCTTGATGCGCTTCAACCACTGACTTTGCATGTAAACCAGCTGCTACTGCTGCTAATGCTGCTTCTGCTGCGTGTGGTCTGAACAGCCTGCGCTGGTTCATGGATGAAGGTTCTTTTATTCAGTATTTAGTATGTCTGAAATGATCTGAATGTGTAAATCTCTTTCCACAGTACGTTCCTCAGAATCTTTATCCAGTCTACAAGAACAAGGTGGTTCCTGTCGCAGACATTATTACTCCCAACCAGTTTGAGGCTGAGTGAGTGTTTAACAATATTGTTACCCAAAGATACCTTTTTATTTTTCATTTAAAATGAAGCAGTGCTTCACCAATTACTCCATTTATCCCACGACTTTATTTCATTCTGTACTATATATTTGTTTAATTCTCACCATAACACAATATGCAAATCCTTTCCTATTCCTTATAGGAGCAGTGATCATAAAAGTTCCCATGTCTTAAATGAAATTGTTTTGAGTTTTGTGTGCATGAATTGGTCTGAACTTCTCTGTGAAATTTCATTCCTTGAACATCTAACCTTTTTTTTCCTTGGAAGAGTTTTCCACCAAATACAACAAAAATTACAATAGGCCTTCGCAGTGCTTTGCTGCTCGGACCTAATAAAAAATACCACAACAAAGACAAACACAGCAGTAATGACACCAAAAAACCTGCAAATAAAAGGAAATAATTTATCACTATCTGGAGCAGGATAAGGAATTTCCTCCTGTTGTTTTTAACTGACCACAGTCTGTTATTGTTAGTTATTTTCCACCAGTTTATACCCATCAAACCCTTGAACTCTAATAAATCTTTGATCTTTAATCACAGGGTTACACATTGACATGGGGCTTTGTTGTTTAAAACCAAACTATAACACATATAAATCTATCTATATTCTGATGCTGCAGGTATTTATGTTGTATAAGACAAAGTAATTATTTTATTTACCTGATTCTGAATGTGGTGCAATTCTAGGCTGTGTCCAGCACAAACCACAAGTTTACAACATGAGGAAGTAGAAAACAGCTGTTTCCAAATTGATCGTAGCAGCTTTCTGTCACCCAGCAGTAAAATGTTTTCACCATATGTTGGTTGTTAATATTTAGGAGTAAATATCAAGATGTGTCTCAGTGTTCATGTTTATGAAGGTTGCTCATTGCTGTCAGCATAATCAGGATGTTTGATGTTTAACTTCGGAAGGTCAGTTAAAGACTGAACAAGAATGTCAGAGGATTTGAAAAGACCACGTCTACCCCCACTAAATAAATGTCACAGCAACAATAGGGATGTTTCCTTTGAACAGATGAGAATAAAGTGCTTTGATTATTATTAAGAGTTGGTAGAAACTAAACACTGACCATCAGTACAAACGCCTCAGAGCTTCTCTCATGCAGGGTGGTGAAGGGGTGGTGATTTGGGCTTCCATGGTACTTTGCCCTCTTTCAGTTGACCATGAACTCTGTTAACCAAGCTTTTCGGAGTTAGATATGAAGGGAATCTCTGACCCGATGATCGCTGGTTGGAACCGGTTTAGAAGGCTGCAAGTCTGAGGGGACCAGAAGAATTTCAAGTTTAGCTTTTAGAAATCCTATTTGAAAAGCATTTTTATGATTGAAAATTTTAAATAAAATTATTTAAAGAATCAGAAATTGTAATCATAAATCTATTATTAAATACTGAAATTTAAGAATATTTTTTCACACCCTTTTTCTATATGGAAGTTTAAAAACCACAATTCATGAAATACCTTTCCTTATCAAACATTTAAAAAGGTCATTCCTTTTTCCTTCTTCTTTTTCACTTTGCGTTTTCAAATCTTGACTCATTTTTTTATACTTCCTCTTCATTTAGTATCTGAACGTCTTCAACAGTTTAATAACAGCTTATTAACAGTTTAGCAAAAATACTTACAGTTTGCTAACTACTAGTTTATTAATGGCTTATAAACTGTTTATAAACAGCCTATTAACTGTGTAGTAACACAGGGTTTCTGCGGGTCATTAAAAATCATTAAAAGTCATTAAATTATTATTTTTTAAATTAAGGCCTTAATT